AGTAAATTCAAAGTAGGTTGTTCATCTGGAAATAAATAATTATGTGAAATATCTTTCCATAAAGCCTTAGGAAAAAGCATTTGATATGACATAATCTTATTAAAGAAATCATTTTTAGAAATATCACTGAATCTAATTAAAGGAAGAAAATCTTTTAATGTGTTGCTTAAATCTGCAAAATTTTGTAATATCAATCTTCAACATCAATGTTATTGATTTCTGGATGTTTTGCTACTCCCCACTTAAGAATATTTTCCCAAATAATTATCTCATCAACAGAAAAATCATCTCTTTTGAGAATCTCCAATAGAGGTGGCTTTTCCAATGATTTAAATTCACTTGATTCAAATAATTTTTCACTATATTCACAAAATTTTTCCAAATAGATATTTTTCAATTCCTTAAATTTTTCATTAGCATAAATTGATTGTAGAATTTTAACTGGATTTTCTTTTATATAATCTTCATAATTTTCAACAAAACATTTCATCAAATATTCATAAAGTGACTCTAGATCAAGTTCATCTGCCGCAATTAATAATTCTAATACTTCAGCTCCAGAATAATTTTCAATTTCAATTTTACATGTATATAAAAATCTATAAATTATTAAATTAATTATTATGTATTAAATAAATAATAATGTATTTATTTAAATTTAAACTTACTTGAGGATAGGGTTGAAACATTTTTCACTAATATTAGCTTTCTTAACAATATAATATCCATTTTTTTTTGTTGCACTACTCAATGCTTTGTTAAAAAATGGACAATGAGTAGATATGATAGATGCATGTGCATGAACTTCTTTAATGTTTGGTTTTACATCAACTGTACTAAATTGATATTATAGTAAGTTGTTTGTTAACTGTAGATACTACCACTTTCGTAAAAACAAAGATCCCAACCATCCTTTCCAAAAAGAGGTAAATAAAAAAGGAATACACTGTATTGCATAATCATAATCATTATTAAAGCATAACTAAATTGTGCAGTATTAATATCATTTCTATTGCTAATATTAAATATAAAACTTTCAATTGTACTCTTATGTATCCTGCCTCCAGGTGTAATCCAATTTAGTGGATTATATCCACCAAATATTTGATCAGAATTTTGTATTTTAGCAACTATAAGAGTTTTGTTGATATTATCACATTTTTGATGAAATATTTCTGCATTTAAGCCATCTCTACTACTACAATATAAAAGTTTAAATTTATATTTGACTTCCCTAAATGAACTATATGATGGAATTTTTTTGTCAACCCAACTTGCAATAAGCAATGTAACATCTTTATTGATGATTGTTGAAATTCTTGATGGTAGTAAATTCAAAGTAGGTTGTTCATCTGGAAATAAATAATTATGTGAAATATCTTTCCATAAAGCCTTAGGAAAAAGCATTTGATATGACATAATCTTATTAAAGAAATCATTTTTAGAAATATCACTGAATCTAATTAAAGGAAGAAAATCTTTTAATGTGTTGCTTAAATCTGCAAAATTTTGTAATATCAATCTTCAACATCAATGTTATTGATTTCTGGATGTTTTGCTACTCCCCACTTAAGAATATTTTCCCAAATAATTATCTCATCAACAGAAAAATCATCTCTTTTGAGAATCTCCAATAGAGGTGGCTTTTCCAATGATTTAAATTCACTTGATTCAAATAATTTTTCACTATATTCACAAAATTTTTCCAAATAGATATTTTTCAATTCCTTAAATTTTTTATTAGCATAGATCAATTGTAAAGTTTTAACTGGATTTTCTTTTATATAATCTTTATAATTTTCAATAAAATACTTTATCAAATATTCATAAAGTGACTCTAGATCAAGTTCATCTGCTGCAATTAATAATTTTAATACTCAGCTCCAGAATAATTTTCAATTTCAATTTTACATGTACAGAGGGTGATCACGGGTTTCCGAACGATTAAAAAAAACCGTTTACATTTATTTATTTATATTAATATTTTTTTTAAAATAAATGAAAATTTACTTGTTCCGAATATTTTTTACATGTTTTATTAAAAATTTAATATTTTGTTGCTCCACCTTCGGCTGCTATACACGCTTGGATTCGACGGGGCATACTTTCAACTAATTTTTGAATATATTCAAGAGGAATTGAACGCC